AGACTTCCGGGCCTTCTGAGAAAGAAGGCCTGCGTGCTGGGAAGAGGTCATGAGACCATATCTCAAGGCCTGGCCTGATGTCAGTACCTTCCTATCTATGTGTTTTAGGAATAGACAGCACAGCATGACCCGTCTGGCCAAAGTGCCAGATATGCAGCCCAGTACATTCCCCACTGGTTTTATGTACATGAGTCAAATCATTGACTCTTTTGGGTCATTGTTGGGGAGGGAGTTATATTGACCCGTGAGGACTATAAGCTTGATAGAATTAATTCTTTGCCAAATAAAGTCAGTGGGCCTGTTTATAAGATAAGGGCCTGGAATGAGGGTCCACTGAGTCCTGGACTTTTCATTTTGCCTGGGCTGTCTTAAGCCGGGTGTGATGAAGCCACATCAGGATCCCGTCGACCTTGACTGCTGTGGGAGTGGTCCTTTCCAGGCAGGAGTCAGTCCTTGGGTGGCAAATTTCTTTACCCAAACAGCGTCACCAGGTTGGAAGGGATGAACCGGATACAGGCAGAACATCTCGTACATGCTTCTGGTCTGCTTTCTGGGTAGACTGTAAAGCCTGAAAGAACTTGAGTAAACTGGTGAGATGAGTAGTTCAGGGTCTGGAAGAGTCACTAGAATCTGTAGAGGCCCCACTGGTTTTAGGGCAGCTGCAGCCTAGTTCCCTCTTGCTTCTGGGGAGTCCCCTTGTCTTACATACATAGAGGTGGAAAGACTTAGTTACATCTGGCAGTGCCAATTGGCCCATCGTCCTTGCTCTGCTCATATCTGTCTAACTGCCTACTATATTACCTCAAGGATCCTGGCTCTGAATTCTTTTAGGGAAAATGGGCGTTGAATTGTCTTCTGTAACTGCTTCATGCTGAGGAGGGTCAGAAGTTTCTCTCAGAGCCAAGAGATCCTTGCTGTCTGTCAGAGGGACGATGAGGCCTGGGCACAGAAGGAGGTGGGCTTGTGACCTGGTAGAGACAAACTCTCTCGAGAGTCCAGGTGGCTCGGTTTCCAAATTGAAAGTTTTGGGTGGAGTCTTCTCCGCCTCCCTGGGGCCCGGGATGGAGACTGGAGGCCTCCTTGATGGTCGTTCCCCACAGGGATGTGGGGTATCTCGCTGCGTGCCCGGCGATAAATGGGGGAGAGCCTCCTGCCTTAAATAGGGGGTCCCTCTCACCCCTGCCTGGGGAGAGCCTCCTGCCCTAAATAGGGGGTCCCTCTCACCCCTGTCTGGGGAGAGCCTCCTGCCCTAAATAGGGGGTCCCTCTCACCCCTGCCGGGGGAGAGCCTCCTGCCCTAAATAGGGGGTCCCTCTCATCCCTGCCGGGATCTCGCTGGGGGCTCCAAATGTTATGGGTTCACTCAGCGAGATAGACCACCGACTCAGAATTTAAATTTAACAGCCTTTATTAAGCTGGCCAGCTGACTACAGTTACAGCACCCTGCCGAAGCAGAGGCTGAACTGCAGCCCGACTACAGGAGTTACATTTTATTATTAAATTCTGTGGAGGCCCAGAGAAAAATGTGTCTTTCAAATTCTGGGCCCCCCCAATATGGAGGAAACTCTCTTTATTTATACTTTTTCCAGTCTTTTGTCTCCCAAATTTGGAATGAGACTTCCGGGCCTTCTGAGAAAGAAGGCCTGCGTGCTGGGAAGAGGTCATGAGACCATATCTCAAGGCGTGGCCTGATGTCAGTACCTTCCTATTTATGTGTTTTAGGAACAGACAGCACAGCATGACCCGTCTGGCCAAAGTGCCAGATATGCAGCCCAGTACACTTAACTCAGTATTTATTTTTATTTCATTCTGTTTCCTGTGGTGGACAATAACTGTGGATACTGGCTATCCAACCATGAAGAGTTAGGTCATAGGGAAGAAGCAGCTTAATCAGAAACTGTACAAACTTTGCAGCATGGAGGGTGAATTACAGGGAGGCAACCTGATAAGTGGAAAGAGCACTAGTTTTGACCAAGTCTTGAATACTAGGTCTGTCACTTTGTAGCATGACTTTGGGAACTTCTTAAATGCTCAGAGCAGTTTTTTATTCTGTAAAATGGTGGTTGGAAGAATCAAATGAGATAGGTGTGTAAAGTATCTGTACATTCTAGACATCCAATAAAAATTAATTCAAAAATATTAGTTATTATGTACTCAAAGCTATGTGTGAACTATGATGAATATAAAAATATATGAGATGAAATGTCTTATAATCTCAAGTAACTTTAATTTATTGGGGTGACATTTGTTAATATTATATAGGTTTCAGGGGTATAATTCTATAATCAACGAATTTTCAGCCTCTTGGGAGAGATTAAAACATGCATATGTGAAACAATTAGAGAAGAAATTACAGATTTTATCAGAGTATTAAATTGTGTTGTAAAGATAGTAAAAGCAGTGATTATAAAGGAGAAGAATCCTGTTGGCCTAAATTCTATGAAAGAGGTGACCCTTAGAAAAGCATTTAGGAATTGGTATACGGAGTAATAGCAACTAATATTTAAAGTTTCTGAAAAAAAAAGTTTCTGAAGAGTTTCACAAGCATTATATTACTAAATATTCACAATTACTCTATGAGATAAGTTTTATAAACCCCATTTTAAAGACCAAAAATTTCGACTCAGAAGTTTTTTGTAAGGGGAAGAGTTAGAACTCAAGCCTAGTAAATGCTGACTGAAATATATGCTCATTTTGTAAAAATATTTTATGTTTGCCATGCATTTTCATAATTGTTTCTTCATCACCTAAAATTGAAGTCATGTCAGAGATTGAAGTCAGAGAGACCAAGAGACCCATCCAAGTTTCTCCAGCTAATTGGTTGGGAAAGCAGTACTAGGACCCATATGCCTGAATGTCTAGGACCTAGACCAGGGGTGGGCAAACTTTTTGACTTGAGGGCCACAATGGGTTCTTAAACTGGACTGGAGGGCCGGAACAAAAGCATGGATGGAGTGTTTGTGTGACTAATATAAATTCAAAGTAAACATCATTACATAAAAGGGTACTGTCTTTTTTTTTTTTTTTAGTTTTATTCATTTCAAACGGGCCGGATCCGGCCCGCGGGCCGTAGTTTGCCCACGGCTGACCTAGACATTAGGTTATAACCTAGACTCTAGGTTATTCTTACCATTACATTGTTTTAATTTCCAGATGGAGAGAGAGGATGGAGAAGGGGCACAGAACTGGATTTGAATGGGCTTTCCCTGCTCTGTGATCACAGAGAAAAACTTCAACTTTTCAGGGCTGCATTAATTCTAATCCTGTAACTAGAGACAGTTATTGATCTGCCTTGTGCTGGGAGTGACATATGAATGGGACAAATGAATTGCCACACTTAAATTGTGGTATATTTCGAAATTATGTCCTTAGGGATGGCAATTAGACAAACACATCAATTCATGTGACTGTGGAGGGTTCTATTCCTTATCTAATTAATTCTGGTCTAAATACAGATTATCACATAGAACACAGAGACTAAACCTAGGTCTTTAAAACACCCTGGTGCTCTTCTTTATGGTTCAAGGAATACAAAGACCCAGGCCTTGACTTTATATGGTGATTTCACTAGTGTTTTTAACTCTACAGCACAAAATCAGCAATCTTACTTCACACTTTCAGGATTTTACATACTTTTCAAGGCAAGTAAATGCTCTATGACAGTTCAGAAGGTGATATTTTCCCAAGTCAAAGTTGAACATATTCTAGTCACTCTTCCTCCAACCAGGATGACATTACATACAAATGGTCACACTTCACTGTACATAGTCTTTGGCTCTTCTTCACTCAAAGCCTGTCAATCTCCGACCATCAAGTTAAAACTTTTAGTAATTGGTAATTTCTTCACTTCTGAAAGTAATTTAAATAGACCCACTACATTTAAAGTTGGACTCAAGTTTTCCCCATTTGTAAGATGTTTGTCTCTGATTTAAAAAAATAACAAAAAGGTTTTCATTTCTCATAACTGACAAGAAAATGCTCATCTTTTTCTTGGGGCCGATATTCTCACATCACTCAGCTTCCATGTCTCCCCCGCCCCCGTCTACTACCATGGCAGTCTGGTTATCTCCCTGCTACTGAGAGTTTCAGGATGCAGGCGTCAGGGGAATTGGGAGTAAGAGTGACAGTGTGTAAACTGACTTGGGTAGTGAGGTTGAGCGTAATAGACGGTATATGAAGTTGTATTTTGGTGAAACTTTGTGAGAGAAAATACATTTAAGAAATGCAGATTGTGAGACGGGCTGTCAGAGGGCGCCGAGTTGGTTTATGAGGCTGGATGCATCTGTGCGTGACTATCTAACCCCGGAAAGCACAGAACCGGATCCCCGCCCCAGCCGCGGGGAGGTGGGACCGCGAGGCCTTTGCTGGATCCCGAACCGGAATAACCAGTTGCGGGACTCCCGCAATGGCAGGCCGGCGTCCCCGCCTGCCGGCTGCGGATCCTGGCCCGGTAGCCGCGCTCCCAGGGCTTGACAGAAGGGCAGTCACGTGGCAGCCGCAAAGCGGCGCTTTGCGACCTCGATGACAGGCAAAATGTGCGACAGCCGCGGTGCTGGCCAACCAGGGGCGGAGGCGGCGGCGGCGACGGAAGAGGAGGAGGCGGAGGCGGAGGCCGCCGTGGCCGGGGTGTTCGCCCGCCTGCTTGTTCGCTCGTTTCCCCGCCCCCTCCGCCGGTCTCACCGCGACTGAAGGGAGCTGGGTGCGTCTTGTGGCCACCTGACCTCATCCTGGCCGGACACAGGAAGACCGGACGCGCATCCCGGCGAGCCTCCCTGTGCGGGCGTCTGCGGCGCGGGCTCCGCGGGGGCGCAGGCGGGCGGCCCGGCTCCTGAAGGTTACCGAAGTGCATGAGCTCATAGCCTCCCGCGCTGCCCCGCCCGCCAGCCCGCCGGGCCCGCCCGCCGTTCGTCCGCCCGCCCCTCGCGCCCGGCGCGGCGGCGGCGGCGCGACGGCCACAGGAGCGCCGTCTTCTTCCCAGGGCGCGCTCGCTCCCGGAGCCGCGAACTCGGCGGCCGCTATGGCGTCAAACATGGACCGGGAGATGATTCTGGCGGATTTTCAGGTGAAGCGTCTGGCCCTTGTCCCCCTGCCACCTCCAACCTCGTGGGTTCCCGGTGCCAGCGGGTGGCCTCTTCCTCGTGTGTGTGTGTGTGTGAGCATTGCAGTGGTTTGGGGCTTTCTGTGGGACGTGGTGTGTGAGTGTGGGGAGCCAGGGGGGAGGGTGTCATTCAGATGATCTGTTGGCCGTGTGTGAGATGGTTCATGGACAGCTGGCTTGAGTGGGATTTGCAGGGTGACAGGGTGTTACGGTCGTTGGGTTATGTGTGTGGGCTGTGCCGTGTTTCCTGTATTGATGTGTAGAACTGGGGAGCATGAAGCGTGGAGATTTAAGTGTGGGGTGTGCTGGGCCAGGAGTTTGGGTTGTTCCACGAGGAGCATGTTGTATGCAGTGTGGGTGTGGACCGTGCGGTGCTGTGGGTGTGTTGTATTTAGGAGAGAGTAAAAAAGTGGCGAGGAGCAGGTGGTGAGGGTATTGGGGCATCCCGGTCGGCTTCAAGAAGCAGCAAACATTTTAGACCTTGATGCCTAATTGGAATCTTTGGAGGGTAGGAAGACAAGGAGGAGGCAAGTAGACTCTGTTTACCACAGTCTCTTTGCAGTGAATGCACAAACTTAAATTACCAGTTCGTATTTGCAGATTCCCCTTTCCTTCAGATTTGAATTGCTTGGTTGGTGTCCTTTCTCCAGGAATAATTTAAGGGATATGGGGGGTGGGGGGTGGGGTGGGGGACCGGTGTGGGGATCAGTGAGGGGGGGGGGGGAAAGGAGGACATATGTAATACTTTCAACAACAAAGAGTTATTAAAAAAATAAAATAAAGGATATGCAAGGGTTATCCCCTTCCTGAGCTCAAATGTAGTGACACTGGTATATCTTAGGGAGGTCTTTTGAAAGTAGTGCTGTATGCATTATGAAAGACTTGTGGAACCAATACCACCATCTTTGCCTTTTGATGTTTGGCAAAAATACCGTAGTGAGATCTTTTTAACCATTCCTTTTGGCATTAATTTAGAAGCTGTTGTTATGTACAGGCATGCTTTCCCCTCTTTCTTCAACACTGTCACCATTGCACATGGCCTAACATTGGCAATGCAGGGTATATTTTTCCTTACTGAGATTTTGTAGGGCTTTTCTTCTCCCTCTTTGATTTTTTTTCTAAGTTCCTTTTTTCTCTCCCTCTCGCACAACTTAATATTCTGAGGGCCATTTCTAGAGTTTGCTCTTTTGATTACCCACTGGTATCTGATTATATTAGAAATATGCATCTATCTGCATTTGATTATACTGAATCTTCCAAACGCAGAAATAAGTGTTTTGGAATTAAAAGTTAGCCACAAGATGTTGGTGTTTTGTAGGCTCGGGATTGGCCTGAGGTTTTTTTTTTTTTTGCCTGGGTAAATCTTTTCATCTTTTTTTAATTCTCCAATTTAGTCGTTTTTCTAATGTGGAATGTGGTTGTTTGAAAAATAACTCTGTATTTTTCTAGCGGCATTTTTAAAAATATATATTTTATTGGTTTTTTTACAGAGAGGAAGGGAGAGGGATAGAGAGTTAGAAACATCGATGAGAGAGAAACATTGATCAGCTGCCTCCTGCACACCCCCCACTGGGGATGTGCCCACAACCAAGGTACATGCCCTTGACTGGAATCAAACCTGGGACCCTTCAGTCCGCAGGCCGACGCTCTATCCACTGAGCCAAACCGGTTAGGGCTCTAGGGGCATTTTTATCCTATTATAAAATTGTTTTATTCTGGTAGGAATGGCTTTAGACAGCAACAATAAGTGTAGTTTACCTTATTAAAAGCTTTAAGGTAATTATAACTTTGTTTTGATTTCACCAAACTTTTTACTTCCTCTAATAACTTGTAACTACTTGCTCTCTCTTTATTTTTTTAATCTTTTTAATTTCTTTTTTGTTTTGTTTGCTTGCTCTGTTCTTACTTGTGGCAATTATTATGCTTATTGTGAACCTTATATTGATGGGCCAAGGATAGGAAATTTAGGATTCTTGTACTTAGAGGTAAAGTAAGATTTTCTGACAAGCATTTGGGACAAGCATTTTTATCATATTAATACTATATTCTAATCAATTATTCTTTTCAACCCAATGGCAATGTTGTGAACAATTACGTATTTACAAAATGGAATAAAGCTTATGCATCTGCAGTGAACAATTGTTTGCTAAATGGTGAGAGCTAATTTCATATTATTAAATAGGTAAGAAAACATTATTGATAGTTTAATAAAAAGTTACTTAGAAAACTATACACATCGTACACACATTAGGCTTTTTTGTGTGTTTAGGAGCCTTGTATTCCTCTTCCAAATGATGATTCCAGGTAAACCTGCTCTTGTGGATTTAGTTTTAAAATTGACTATTCTTTCTATACTTTAACTATTATTTAAGATTTTTATAGGATTAACTTTAAAAATTAGCATTTATCCAGTTATCCAAAATCAGGTACAGTAATTTGTGTTAAAGATTGCAGTTCAGGACTTGGAATATGGATACTTGGATGTTGATTTCTTCTATAACTGGGCAGATCAGTTTCCCGCTCAAAAGTGAACATAGTAAAATTATATTCTATTTACTTCATATGATTGTGAAAATTAAAATGTTTTGAGAGCTCAGTTTTGCCTTTGTAGATAAGGACATGAATTTTAAATGTGATTAGATTTTAAAAGTAAGTTTTATATTTTGATTCTTGCTGGATAATAGTTCTTATAAATTCAATGTCTAAGTATGGAAAAGCTTTTGAGGAGGATTTTTGTATTGTCTTTAACAACCTCAATAACCTAGGTAAATAGTGGATGGAAGATGAGAGCTGAGACTTAGTTTGGGACTTTGTAGATGAGCAAACTCATTACAAAGCAAATATATATTCTAAGTTGTCCTTTCAAAGATTATTCCCCCAAATAAAAACAGCTCCCAATTAAAACAAAATTTAAATTGTGGTGAAATACACATAACATAAAATTTGCCTTCTTAACCATTTTTAAATGTTCTTTTCAGTGATATAAATTAATTCACTTTGTGGAACCATTACCACCATCCATTTCTAGGACTATTTTTATCTTGCAAAACTGTAACTCTGTACCCATTAAACAGTACCCATTTTTATCTTGCAAAACTGTAACTCTGTACCCATTAAACAATACCCATTCTTTCTTCTCTTCAGCCCCTGGCAACCACCATTTTACTATTCTGTCTCTATAAATGTGAATACTTTAGGTAACTCATATAAGTGGAATCATATAGTATTTGTCCTTTTGTGACTGGTTTATTTCAGTTAGCATAATGTCTCCAATGTTCATCCATGTTGTAGCATGTGTCAGGATTTCTTTTTTAAGGCTGAATAATATTATACTGTATGTATATACCACATTTTGTTTATGCATTTACCTGCTAATTTCCCATGTTTTGGCTATTGTGAATCATTAGTGCTGCTAGGAACATGGTGCCTATTCCAGTCCCTGCTTTAAATTCTTTTGGGTATATACCCAGAAGTGGAATTACTGGATCATATGGTATTTTTATTTTTTATTTTTATTTGAGGAACTGTTTTTCATAGTGTCTGCACCACCAGAATTTTGAATGGAGAGTGTGACAGCATTCTGTTAAATCAATTATTTGTAAATTCAACTCTGAGCAAGTGAGTTTAGAATTTGGAATAGTCTAACACAAATCAGCTTTAAATGTAAATATGTAGTGTTAGCATAGTATGTTGCTGGTAAAGGAATGAATAGAGTAGTACACCTACAGTTTTGGCTAGCTAGAGCCAGGAGGGGGGTGTAAAGGAATTTCCTGGGTTTAGGAAACAGGCAGGCATTGATGAATCATGAGGTTTTTTTCTTAATGTCTTTTATAACAAAGAGATACATTTAGGTGAAAGTTCCAAATCTTGTTCTTTTTGTAATTGAATTCTTTAACTTTTTAAATTTAATTTAATTTAATTTTATTTTATTATTAATGTTGGTGGTGGTGTGGTGGAGTGGTGGTGGTGGTAGTGGTAGATGGGGGTGGATGGTGGTCTAAGATAATACTTTTAAACATAATTTTTCCGTGTGAACAAAAAGCGGTGTAGCCATTTAGATTAGTCTCATATGTTGGTCTCATATATTTTTCTATTTATGTTTCTGTATTACTGATAATATAAAGATAGATCATAACACTACTGAAATGCAGAAAAAAACACAACTCTCATTAGTAGTATTTTCTTTCAGACTTTTTCAGGAATAAAAACTTACCTGCTTGCTAAAAAGTATTCTTTTTGAACCTCGTTCCAGTGGTCACAGATTAGGAGTCCCTTTATTTTCTAATATAGCATTGATTTTTATGTTACTTTCAGTTATGTTTTCTGGTCAACACAATTGTGCCTTTGTTTTCTCCTCCTGGTCTTTCCAGCTAGAAATACCTTTGCTGCCTAAATTACTTTATACATTTTCATATATTGGATTATCACCATGGGACTTTTAAGTTTCCATGTGCCTATCAACTCCTCTTTGAAACATGGACTTCTCCATGACACTACTGGTAACTCACTTGTAAGTAGTTTCTGCCCTTCATAATATTTTGTCTTCTAAATGAAGCTGCAAATCCCTCTTTTTTTTTTTAGCTTGACATAAAGAGATATGTTCTACAGAAGACAATGCCAAACTATGCGAGTAGAAATAGTATCTGTTTGGATCAATAGATATCTTTTGTGATATTGTGCATTAGGGACCAAACTAGGTATTAATGGAACATCATATACAGTATATTTACTGGGAGGTTACCTTGTGCAGAATATTGAGTATTAATGGCCGAAAGTAGTCTTGTTTACCATGCTTTCTTTCGTTTCGTCACTATCCTCTTTATTTATTAGAGGGACAAATCATGTTGTTTTAGTGTTTGGGTTGTCGGTCATTGGGAAAATAAAAGTTTTGGCATGTAGAATAAAATTTAGTAGTAAGTTGTTGAGAACATGGACTTTGAGGTTAGTTCACTTGGATTTCAATCACAGCTCTGGCACTCATTCATCTTGTGATCTTTGACCAATCACTTCACACCTCTTTGCCTCAGTTTCCCCATATGAAAATTGAGTTGATTCATGTAAAGTAATTAGAACAGGTGTCTGACATAGAAAGTATTCAGTATATTTTATTTTATTTATTTATCTATTTATTTTAAGTATATTCTTATTGATTTCAGAGAGGAAGAGAGAGGGAGAGAGACCAAAAAACATCACTGATGATAGAGAATCATTCATCGGCTGCCTCCTGCATTTCTCACGCTGGGGATCTAGCCCATAATGCAGGCATGTGCCCTGATTGGGAACGAACTGTGACACCCTGGTTCATATAGGTCTACGCTCAAATACTGAGCCATGCCGGCCGGGCTCAGTACATTTAAGCTGTTATTTTCATTTTTGATAACTTTAAGGTACATACTTATTCTCTGCAGGTGACTCCAGAGATCATTTATTGCCAGCTTCTCATTTTCCTTTTGTGGAAGTTGAGACCCAGCAAAAGGAAGTGACTTGTCCAAGGACATGGGTTGGTTTGAAACAAGTATTTTTTCCCAGGTATACTATAGGAGTGTTATTTTCTAGCTTAATTTGTCAAGTAGCTTGGAGTTTTAGAGGAAAACAAGACCCACCATTTAGAAATTTCTCCAAATGATAAAACTTACATATAAGCCCTGGCTGGGTAGCTCAGTTGGCAAAGAGGTGAAACCAGTACTTTTCTTTCTAGGTTTTAGTAACTGCAAAGTACTAGAACATTTGGATTCCTCACAGGTTGTTAAATGGCTATATATAATACCATAAACATTATCCGATCACACCTCCATAGGAAGCATTGTACTTAGGCAGATTGGAGCTCTAGTTTTTTTCTAGTTTTTTGTTTTGGTGTGGTTCTCTGAGAAAGTCATTTATTCTTTCTGGATTTCAGTTGTTCAATCTGTAAATGAGGTCTGTCTAGAGTTGTATCTACCCCAAAACAGAAGACTGGACTAGATCACGTATTCAGATAGAGTCTGAACAATCACTTGGCAGCATTGGGGTTGAGGACTTTATAATTTAGGTAATTGATCTAGATTAGGGGTCAGCAAACTATATCTTGAGGGCCAAACCACCACCTGTTTTTGTCAATAAAGCCTTATTGGAAGATAGTTATGCATATTCGTTTACATATTGTCTTGTTTACATGTGTCTTTTGCCTGTAATAGCAGAATTTAGTAGTTGATTGTATTGCCTACAAAGCTTAAAATGTTTACCCTGCTCCTAACAGGAAAGTTTGCTGATCCTTGAGATCAGTTGTTTTTACAAATGTGGATAATTTCTGTTCTCAGGGGATATTTAGGCACTATCTAGGGACATTTTTGGCCCTTACAACTGAGGGGTGCTACTGGCATGTAGTGGGTAGAGGCCAGGGATGCTGCTAAACATTCTATAATGCACGAGACACTCTTCCAAACTGAAGAATTATCTGCCCCCAAATGTCAATAGTGCTGAAAACCCTAGGTCTAAATCTGTGGTTCTCAAACTTTAGCTTGCATAAGAATAACCTGGACTTGTTAAACTCTGGTTGCTGGACCCCCACCCCAGAGTTTCTGATTTAGTGGATCTTGGATGGAGCCTGCAAATTTGCATTTCTTCTAGGACTCAGGATTATGCTGCTGCTGATCCAAGGACTACACTTGAGAACAACTGATCTAGATGACTTTGAAGAAACATCCATTCCTATGATTCTTTGCTTTTGTGATCTTAAGTACTGTTCCATTTTTATGACAGGAAAATTAAATATTCAGTATATACCTGATGGTTACAATGGAATATGCTGTTTAATCACTCCATGTCTTTGAACCCTTTTTTATTCATGTGCCTTTGGAAAATTTCTAGTTATCTTTCAAAATCCACCTCCTACCTTTTACTTATAACATCTGTGCCTAGTAGGGTTAATCATTTCTTATGTATCTTATGCAGTTTCTCTTTTGAGTCCTATGTCAGATTGTCAATAATCATTTTACATGTTTCTTTCCCCTGTTGTCAGCTCTTTGAAAAAACAACTGCCTGGGTCTTAACCCCCTGTTCCTTTAGTTTCTAGTAAGAGGTCCCCAGTGGGGGGGGGGGGGGGGATATGTATATATATATATATATATATAT